TGCAAATTGAGCCCAGGGAAAATCATTCAAAATAAAAGAACTACAGGGCCAGCTGGAAATAGACAAAAGCAGGCAAGAGAAATGTGAAAGCGCTAAGAGATTACTACATGTAATAGGAAAGCGGGATGTAAACACTGATACATGCTTGTTTCACTTCTGTATTTAAATACTGTAGGAACATAACAGAATTTGCTTCTGGGTTTATAGCAGTTCAGTTTCTTTCTCCAAAGTGACTGACTGGGATCCACATTACTCAGTACTTTATTACACACACGCCAGGCAGTTCTCTAACCTCTGTTCACACGGCTGCTGTGTGGGGAAGTTTTCCAGGGCGGCTCTCACAAAGGCCAGACGGGAATACCCCAAACACCCCTGCGGACCGTGATTCCGGGCGGAGCAGTTTAAACAGCGCAGAAGGCCGCAGCAGCAGCCCAGCGGACGTCCTCGCTCATCTGAGACAGAATCTGTGCGAGCTGCAAACACCCAGCAGCGCAGGTAACCGCAGCTCCTTCCCTGCCTGAGCTGTCCGCCTGTCTAGCTCCTTAGGCTGCTCTAGTGCATCTATCAGAGCTCCTGCTAGAAAAGTCCCTTCCTGCTACTCCGCCCACATGTACCACCACCCACCCACCTGTCCTCCAGAGCTTCTCTGCACCCACCCGTCCTCCAGAGCTTCTCTGCACTGGGTACCAGGAGTGCTGTTAACCACAAGCATTTTCAGATGGGGCTGTGGGGAGCAGCAGTGACACCTTGTGGCCAGTCAGGGTAGCTCTCAGTACATACAGTACCACAGGGCACAAAAGCACAAGAGAGTGAGAGGGGACTGGATGGGATAGAACAGAGTGAGGAAGAAGGCAGAGGCTGTGCTGGGACATGGCATGAAGGGACATCAGGTGTCTACCCATCATGCCACACACCCAACGAGAGACAGTCCCTGCCCCAGCTGAGATCAGGGCCCCATTGTGCCGGGCGCTGCACAGACACACAGGGAGAGACACTCCCTGCCCCAAAGAACTTACAAGACAGATGAACAAAGTAGTTCTATCCCTATATGACAGGTGGGGAAACCGAGGCACGGCAGGTTGCCATGAATTTTCCCAGGTCACACAGTAGAGTGTGCGGCAGAGTTGGGAATTGAAGCCAGATCCCCTGACTAGCAGTCAAGTGCCTGAACCCGCTGCATGGAAAGTGCTGAACCATGAAGTGTCTTCAGCCCCATTAATGCCGTGGCCCTTTCCCCCAGGTGGGGGCTCTGAGAGAAAACTCTGCCCCATGGACTGGCTGTCACACAGAGGAAGCCTTTTTAGAACAGAGAAAGGAAGACGTTATTTCGGGGTGGGTCCCCCTCCCTCTCTCCTGCTGAAGCTGTTCCACGTTGCATAGGGCACTTGAACAGTCGCTGGGGCCGAGAGCGAGTGAGACGGACTCTCTAGCCTGGCGGTTGGGTCACTCACCTGGGAAGAGACCTAAATTCAGGTAGTCCCTGCTCCAGGCCCATTTTGTCATCTGGAGGAGTCTCACCTTTTGCTGCGGATTGTCAATCACAGCCAGGGAGGCGCCGAAGGAGGAGCAGTTGCTCTGGCTGAAGGTCCAGTTTCCTTCGGCCTCTGAGAAATAGTAACATTTCCCCAGGTACCCGACCCAGCCGTCAGGGCACCGAGGGACAGCAGGGGAGCGTGGAGGATCAAAACCAAGTCTCAGTGCTACCCCTGGGGGGAAAAGAGAGAAAGTAACAGACACTGGGTGACAGAGACCCATCTTTCCTGTGCAACTACACGCAGCAGTAAGAATTTCACACACACGCTTCCCCCTGAGATTAACCCAGCCCATCCTGTGCCCAGCACTCAGATCTGCATATTTGATTCAAGTAAAAAAAAAAAAAGTAAAGGATTTTATTTTTAAGAAGAAAAAAACATCTGACTGAAAGTCACAGCATAAGACTATAAGATCAGCCACACTGGGTCAGACCAATAGTCCCATATCCTGTCTTCAGACAATGGCCAATGACAGGTGCCCCAGAGGGAATGAACAGAACAGGTGATCATCAAGTGATCCAGCCCCTATCGTCCAATCCCCACTTCTGGCAGTTGGATATTTGGGGCATGGGGCTGCATCCCTGACTATCTTGGCTAATAGCCATTGATGGACCTATCCTCCATGAACTTATCTAGTTCTTTTTTGAACCCCCATTATACTTTTGGCCTTCACAACATCCCCTGGCAAGGAGTTCCACAGGTTGACTGTGCGTTGTGTGAAGAAATACTCCCTTTCGTTTGTTTTAAACCTGCTGCCTACTCATTTCATCAGGTCACCCCTAGTTCTTGTGTTATGTGAAGGGGTAAATGATACGTCCCTATTAACTTTCTCCACACCAGTCATGATTTTACAGACCTCTCTCATCTCCCCCCCCTTAGCTGTCTTTTTTCTAAGTTGAACAGTCCCAGGCTTTTTTATTTCTCCTCGTACGGAAGCTGTTCCATTCCCCTAATCATTTTTGTCTTTGCACCTTTTCCAATTTGAATATAGCCTTTTTGAGTTGAGGTGAGCAGAACTGCGCACCGTGTTCAAGGTGTGGGTGTACCACAGATTTACTTAGTGCCATTTATGATATTTTCTGTCCTATTATCTCTCTCTTTCCTAATGGTTCCTAATATTCTGTTAGTTTATTTGACTGTCGCTGCACATTGAACGGCTGTTTTCAGAGAACTATCCAAGATGACTCCACGATCTCTTTCTTGGGTGGCAACAGCTAATTTAGACCCATCATTTGGTATGTATAATTGGGACTGATTTTTCTAATGTGCATTACTTTGCACTTATCAACATTTTTTAATACATGCAGGTAGCCTTCTACCTTCCTGCTACTAGGCCCACATGTTCCCTTCAGATGGGACTGAGAGGAGCAGCAGTGACACCTAGTGGACAGTCAGAGTAGCTCTCAGTATATACAGTACCACGGGGGGTGAAAAAAGCACAGAAGAGAGTGACGGACAGTCCCTGCCCCAGCTGAGATCAGGGCCCCGTTGTGCCGGGTGCTGCACAGACACACAGCGAGAGACAGTCCCTGCCGCAGCTGAGATCAGGGCCCCGTTGTGCCAAGAGCTCCACAGACACACAGCGAGAGACAGTCCCTGCCCCAGCTGAGATCAGGGCCCTGTTGTGCCGGGCGCTGCACACACACAGCGAGAGACAGTCCCTGCCCCAGCTGAGATCAGGGCCCTGTTGTGCCGGGCGCTGCACACACACAGCGAGAGACAGTCCCTGCCCCAGCTGAGATCAGGCCCCGTTGTGCTGGGTGCTGCACAGACACACAGCGAGAGACAGTCCCATTGACTTTTCCTTGCTATTTGTTCCTGTTTGTATTGTGGGCTGTTTCTTCTTCAGGATACATCATCCATTTGAATGGACCATATTTTCCTGTAGTTATTTTAAAAAGACTCGACAAACAATATTTTTATTTTAAAAAATATTTATTTTAAATAAATAAAAAAGACTTAAAGAAATCGCTTTAGAAAACAACTCCCTTTGTCATATAATTATAATAAATAATAATACCCAGCTCCTATATGGCTAATCTCAAAGCTAAGGGACCCAACAAGGACATCCATGAGTCATTCTTAAACTAACTAGGGCTCTGAGCCTGTGATCGGAATGTTAAATTAGGGCCAAACCCCACTGAAATCATGGTGTAAGAGGGTCTTTTGGAGGAAAAGTTCATCTAATTTCCCTTCTTTACTGTCTCCAGTAGTTGCCGAATGCTGACCCCATAGGACATTACTGGGAGAGGGCTGGAGATGCTCACCTTCATGGGAGACATTAATCCCTCCCCCATAGTCATTTCTGGATACCCAGTACTGTTAGAGAAACTGCCCTTTGAAAGAAACCTTACACTGGGCTCCCTTCTGCCCTATGTGTGTTGTGGTGAGGGATGCATTTGAGTGTTGTGTAACTATGTTGTGGAGCATTCCTTTGTGGGGTGAGGGGCGGAGCAGTACTTTAAAGTCATGTTTTAGACCTCCTGAAGTGTGATTTACAATATGGAATAATTAAGGAGCTGCCTCAGAAGAGTCCGTTGAGGAAGAAATCTCAGCAGGAACCTGGCTACAATCCACTGTCAGCTCCTGTCAAGGAAGCAAAAACATCTGTTCAGTGAGTGGTATGTTTTTATATCTATACAGAAAGAGCAATCTGAAACTTTGTGCCGGGATTACATTAAAAGAAATGATAAAAATAAGAACTAAATAAAGTCTCTAGGAGAGAGCACAGTGTGTGTGTCTCTCTCTCTCTGTAACAGTCTGCGATATCTCTGAGAACCAAAGTGGCAGCTTGCAGGCAAGAGGTGCATAGCCATTTAAAAGTTTCAGTGCACAGAAAATAAAATTATCCATGGGTTTATTACAATGAACAAGTAGTTAAAGCGAAGCTGCAACTGAGAATTAAAAGGTGCTATCAATTTGAAAAGCACATTTCCATATGGAAATTTGGTGTTTATTAGTATTACAAGTAACCTTTAAAGCCACATCTACACTCAGATTTCCAGTTGTGTTTTAACACATTTGAACCAACTTATGTTAAGTGGAGCTAGACAAATAATGGATTTTTCAGTTTGCTGGCAATTCCAAAAATCTGGGAGGAAAAACGTTGGTCTCAGGTCAAACCAAAAATGAAATGTCAACAAATCAAAAAGTTTAAAACATAATAATAATTTCAGGTTGAAGTAGATGTTTTGACAAAATCAATTCAATTTTTCCCTTTTTTTCAAATATAATTAAAGAAAACTAAAGTCATTTTGCACAGAAAAATCAAAACATTTAATTTTTAAAATGTAAAAAAAAAAATCTGAATTTGTTTCCTTTGGTTTTTTCAGCCAAAAAAATTTCACTCAGCTCTAGTGTTAAGTAACATGACTGTAAATTCCACTGTAGGTGTGACAAGTGTGTTTATTCCTTGTAATTAAACTTGGGATGAAGAAAAATTTACAACTATGTTAAACACCTCCAGTAACAAATATTTATCACATTTTAATGTAAGTGTAGACAAACCCTAAAATAACTGACAGAGATAAGAAGAAACCTTTTACTTTCCTCTATTTTTTCCTATCTCAGATGTCCAATCCCGATGATTTAAATGTCCACATTGTTAACTATTTCACTGCTCAAAAAATGTAAGAAAAGAGAGGGAGGAGAGTCATATTAAGAAGATCTTTATTAATGCCAGCTCATTCTGATGCTACAGGAAGCAAATGTGGGAAATTATTGCTAATTTCCCCCCCAGTCAGGAAGGAGCCACACCCAAAAAATCCAGCAGAACCAAGAGACCTTCCCTGATCATATTTTTAGCATTGAACAATCTATTCTGAGGGGCAATCGAACGGGTCAGACATTTTTCACAGAAACGGTTTTTCATGTCAGACTGTTTCATTTACAAACACAAACAGGAGCTACAGCTTATGTTTTCTAGACCAAAGTATCCATCGGTACTGAGAAGCTGCCTTCTTTCATGATTTTAAACAAATAAAATAAAGGACTATTTCATCTTTTTCATATAATAACGTCAATAGCAGTAATGCATATTATGTACTAATACACACCTCATGGAATAACATCAAAAATGTAAATGAAAAGCCCCATCAAATAAAATAAAAAATTCTAAATAAAAGTTTTAAAATGCCAATACAAATTTTTTTTTCTAAAGCCAAACATTTTCCAGAATCCAATTTGGAAGAAAATTTCAAATATATTGGCATGTGTTCGGATTCGGAACGAAATATTTCGAAATGTCAAAACTTCCGGCGAAACGGAAATTTGGAATTCTGACCAGCTCTAAGTGACAGCTAATGTTGGCATCTCAAATCAGTGAGAGTTGGTTTGGAGGCGGATTGTGGGAGAATACCACTACTATTTTCCCTTTCCCTCCTCGGCTCAAACCCTGGTCATCAACAGGGAGTGGTTGCTGCCCGTCCAAACCACCCATGCCAGAGCCTCACTCTCATAAGCCACGCCTCTTATTTTGGCAGACATCAAGCCTCTGTCTGGAATACTGCAGAATATTTCAAGCACAGCAGCTGAGCGGTGGCTTGGCTCTGCACAAGGGTTATAGATACCATCTGACCCTTTCTCTCTCCAGCATTTAATGACAGAGCTGATTAGACTCACTTGAGAGTCTTTTGTTATGGATCACTAGAGCTGAGATCACTGATAACCAGGTACGTGCTAAGTCTTACAGCTACTGTGGTGAAAGAGACTGCCCAGCCTGCACTAGAAGAGAGGCTCCCCCATTAAGAGCTGAGAAAGGCCAACAACCATGAGTGGGATGCGGTAGAGGGAG